TAGACACCGTCAGCTGATGCCGTGCGCATGCGTACAATATCTACTCGATACATTCAGTTCGCATCTGTTGAATGGCGGAATTCATCATTCATGGAATTTATAGTTTAATGTGACTGAATTTCCTATAAGAATCACGCATCTATCGCGATGTCGAAAGCCAAAATTTCGGCTGAATGGAGAAAAAGAGTTAAGTCGGAATACATGCGTTTACGGCAAATGAAACGGTACAAACGAGCAGACGAAGTTAAAATCGCCTGGAATCAAAATCGCAAGGTTATGACAGGCAAGTGAAATTTTATAACTATTTTTCGAATATTTTTTTCTTATTTCTCTCTCTCTCTCTATTTTTCTTTCTCTTTTCTGTTTATTTCTTGTTATTATTTTATAAGTTAAAAATACTATTGGAAATAACAATGAATATGATGCTGCTACTTTGCTAATACATAACTTTATGTCGTATAGTTAACGTTTTTTATTGAATATAGAACTTCTCGTGGCTGAACAAAAGCGATGGGCAGATGGAAAGGCAATGTGGTTAGCAATACAAGATATTCCACCGCATCTGTCCTGTATGAAAAAAGCTGAAATTACTAGTCCTGATGGCGACATTCAAAGTTGTCCTGTAAAAATAATTAATGCAGTAACTCCTATACCAACTATGTACACATGGGCTCCTATTCAACAAAACTTCATGGTAGAAGATGAAACTGTTTTACACAACATTCCTTATATGGGTGATGAGATCTTGGATCAAGATGGTACCTTTATTGAGGAACTTATAAAAAATTATGATGGAAAGGTATACGAAATAATTACGTTAATTTGATTTAGTAATTATGTAAAGAATTTTATTGATATTAATAACTTTATGTTTCAGGTTCATGGTGATAGAGAATCTGGTTTTATGGATGATTCCATCTTTGTCGATTTGGTAAATGCTTTAGCAAATTATGAGAAAGATGATAAGGAACGAGAACAGATAAGGAAAGGAAAAGAATCTTCCAAAGAGAAAGAGAATCAAAAAGAAAATGAGAAGAAGGATGAAATAAAGTCTGAAATCAAGACGGAAAAGACTGAAAGTGGAAAGACAATGGCTACACCTTTCCCATCGATACATATATTCAATGTAGAGGAATTAAATACAGTGATATATTTTAATCATATAATTCCATAGTAATATAATTCTGATACATTTATTACAATTATTATTTTTAGGCAATATCAAGTATGTTCCCTGATAAAGGAAGACCAGAAGAATTGAAAGAAAAATATATCGAATTGACAGAAAGATCTGATCCAAATGTTTTACCACCAGAATGTACACCTAATATAGATGGTATAAAAGCGAAAAGTGTACCTAGGGAACAAACAATGCATTCTTTCCATACTTTATTCTGCAGGAGGTGCTTCAAATACGACTGCTTCTTACATCGTGAGTATATCACAATGAAGTAATCTTTCTAAGTATCTAAGTTGTATTTTATGTGAAGTATATAATAGTATATCTTTTAAATGTATTATGTAATGTTTTAATAATTATTGTATTATTTTTAAAAATGAAGCAAAACACTAATAATAAGAAAACTTTACTAAAATACAACTTACTAGTGTTGTATATTTTAAGTGTTTTAAGTTGAAGGTTTATTAATTACAATAATTTGTGATTCCTGATTTATCGTAGCAGCCAGGGGGACCTCGCCGCAAGGTAAAGAACAATATTGCATATAAACTAATGCATTATCGATCGGAAGCTTTTTTTGTTTAGCACAGAGACATCGTCAAGGGCTCATCTGCAATCATATTTCATTCATCGTTCATTATTGTATCTTTCTACTAAATTTACATAATTTTTCTCCATTCAACCATGCCGAATCAGTCGACGAGAGCATATTCGTAGTGAGTTTATGATATTGCTTGTAGGTCTTCAAGTTTGCCATCCAGGTCCAAATTTGTTGAAACGGAAAGGACCCGATTTGAAACCATTTCCAGAGCCATGTGGAACAGAATGTTACATGCATTTGGTATATCAAATTTGCTATCCTGTTAAATTTCGTAATGTTCGTTTTTAAAATTGATGTCAACAATTTGATATCTTTCTCATATGTAGGAAGGAATGAAAGAAAAACTGGCAGCACAAGCGGCAGATATAAAAGAGGAAGAAAGCGATGAAAAACGCGGTGGTCCTAGAAAGGTACGAAAACAAGCAAGCGTAGATTCTGGAAACGAAGCAAGCAGCGAGGATAGCAATGATAGCAATAAATATGGTCAAGGAGGCAGTTGTCAAGGTAAATATATCAAAGATTTATTACCATGAATTAAAATTCTAAAATGTTTTATTGTTCAAATTAGATTTTAAGCAAAACGTCAATAACAAGGACTGTAAACCTGAAGATATTATAGAGGATCAAACGCAACCCGAAAATCAAACACCCTTCACGCTATTAGGAATTGGCAAACGAATTAAGACAGAAAGTGAGTTCTCATGGACAGGTTCTGAACAAAGCTTATTCCGAGCTCTTCACAAAGCCTTTCCCGGTAATCCATGCGCACTGGCACAAATTATGTTGACGAAAACTTGTCAAGAAGTGTATGAATTTGCGCAAAAGGAGGCTTCGGATATTCCCGCTATAGAAAATCTTAAAGACTTTACGCCACCGCGAAAGAAAAAGAAGAAGCATCGATTATGGTCAATGCATTGCAGAAAAATACAACTTAAGAAGGATTCTGGTACGCACATTAATTAGTTTCAAGGAGTCTGTAATATATTTTCGAATATCTAATTGTCTTATTCATTTTGACAGGCGCAAATCACGTGCACAACTTCGCACCTTGTGATCATCCAGGACGTCAATGTGACAACTCGTGTCCCTGTATACAAGCGCAAAACTTTTGCGAAAAATTCTGTCAATGCAGTAGCGAATGTCAGAATCGATTCCCTGGCTGCAGATGTAAGGCTCAGTGCAACACGAAGCAATGCCCATGTTATTTGGCCGTGAGAGAATGTGATCCGGATCTTTGCCAAACGTGTGGCGCTGATCAGTTCATTATCACTAGAATATCTTGCAAGAACGTCAGTGTGCAACGTGGTCTTCGTAAGTTTAATAACTGTCGATATAATTTTGTTAAGAAAAAAACTAAGTTAAAAAACAAAAATTTTGTGGTTCATAGATAAGCATCTTCTGATGGCACCATCAGATGTGGCAGGTTGGGGAATTTTTCTGAAAGAATCGGCGGCAAAGAATGAATTCATTTCGGAATACTGCGGCGAAATTATCAGCCAAGATGAGGCCGATAGGAGAGGAAAAGTATACGATAAATATATGTGTAGTTTTCTTTTCAATCTTAACAATGGTAAGTACGATATAATTTAACAGCCGATTAGATATTTTAGAAAAGGGAAAAGAAAGGTTAAAAATATTTTTTTAGATTTTGTCGTTGATGCGACGAGAAAGGGAAATAAAATCAGATTTGCCAATCACTCGATTAATCCAAATTGTTATGCAAAAGTAATGATGGTGAACGGTGATCACAGAATAGGTATTTTTGCTAAGAGAGCAATTCAGCCTGGTGAAGAATTATTTTTTGATTATAGGTATATATATCATACACATTGCACAATGGAATCAATATATTAACTAAGATTAAAATTATATGAAAAATAATAATATTTTTAGATATGGACCAACAGAGCAACTCAAATTTGTCGGTATAGAACGAGAAATGGAATTTCTTTAAAAATTTATATTTTATATATCAATACATATATATATAAATAGTATATCGAACAGATGCATACAACTGAAATATTAGAAATGATAATAATGATATATGTATTATCTGGTTTGTTCACACAGTTATAAAAGCACACATGTAATAAAAGAACATGCCATTTTTAAAAATTAAGATCTACACCTTTGCGCAATGATTTTTTTGAAAAAAGAGAAAATCTCCATAGCAGTAAAATTATAAAAGTCAAATATCTGATGAAAGGATGATTAATAAATAAAAAATGTAAATCGCATATTTTACATTGTTATAAGCGAAAATACTTATGAGTTTTAATGACAAAATCATTTTTTAACTGTATGTATTATTTATTAGAATATGATTTATGTGTGAAAAAAACAATTCTCTCGTAATGTCTCCATCGATAATTTAATTGCAATTATCAGAGCAAGTATCTCAGTTACAGATAAATGTATCTGTATAGATAAAACAAAGATATGTATCTTTTTACTATTACGAAAATATATGTACGTGCTTTGTTCAATTCATTGTAGTATATACAATTTTCGCACAATTAATACATAATCAATACTTTACAAATTTATTTTTTGATAGTATTTGATTAATTATGATAAAGAGAGCAAAGATTTCTTTATCTTGATTGATCAATTAAAATGCTATTTTACCCTCGGAGAATTTTTGAATGAATCTATAATCTAAAATTAATATATAATATCTAAAATTTATTTATTTTGTTTAAAATATAGCAAGTATAATAAAGTATAATAAATATAGCAAGTATAAAAAAGAAAAAGAAGATAAAAATGTGTAGTTGTAAAATTTGTAAAAATGCGACAAATCAATTTTATTTTTTCTTTTATTCGCAAATAATTATATTTATTTATTTGCTATTATTATACGTGAGATTAGGTGAAATTATGATTAATTAAAAATTGTAATATATAGATTATATATTATAAATATGTAATAACTCTCTCTCTCTTTCTCTCTCTTATATATAATATTCTTTTCGTAAATCATGCTAGTCTACGGTAATGTTATTTATATCGTATTAATATCCGGTGCTTAAGAAAAGCTTACCTGCCGAAGGATACGTCGAAGATAATAAAACGTGTTCTCTCGAGAATCTGGATTAAAGCGTCACCGACGAACACGTCGAGCTTTCGCGCAGCTTACAACGGAGTTAACGCGAAGGGATTATAGCAAGCTTCGACGATCTCGGCGTGGCAATTCAGCCACCAGTTGCAGGCTTCGCGGCTGCGAAAACGGTTGGACGGAGAGTCTGCTTTAAGATCAAGTAAAGAGAAAGACCCTCGGGGAAAACTATTATTTCTGAAAATAACTCGCGTGTAAATAAATGAACTCTACAATTTACATTTAAAAATAATAACGCTCCTGATTCAACTTGTATCGAAGAATTGATTTACGATCGATTTATCGATTTATCGTAAAGCGTAACCTTGCGATTTGCAGTAAAATTTTAATCGCGAATTATGCGGTTGTGTTTTCTTTCCCGCGCTTTCTTCTCTAATTTTTCCAACGGATAAACAGAGAGAAACATTATACGAGCGAAAATAATCGCCAACGATCGACGCTATGTCTTTGAACGGATCTACGCACCTGTGACGTTCGTGAAAATTCGCGCGTTTAAAATTTAATTGGATCTCACGTCAAGAGTAAATATTTACACGCTCATATTGGTTTTCGGCGGTGATCAGTTCCGAGTCCGATGTGCGCAGAAACGAGTTAGCGCGAAATCGAGTTGCACTCTTGGATGTGATAAATTCGGTGGAGATCCGGAATTTGCGGAAACGCCAGGTGACGGATAAGCATGTCGCGAAGAAAGTGAAGTGCATGAGAGAAGCAACGTCGCGTCCGATGATAGTCGGCTCGTAGGAGGACGCCAATTTGGATCGAGGCCAAGTCTGAGGGAATCTCGCCTGCGAATATGGAGGAAGAAGGTAATGACAACTTCTATTGCAAAATGTTATAAGATCCGCTAAATTGTAAACACACTAATGATAGCTTCCTCTATATTCTATTTAAATATATTCACTTCCTTTTTTTCTCTTCCTTTCTCTCTTTTTCCCTAAGGATTTGAATTGCATATTGAATCAGGATTATGATAAATTATAATTAATTCAAATAATTATTATTTAAAATAATTATTATCCAATAATTATTAGATAAAGTAATAAATTATATTGACATGATTTAACATATAAATCATTCTCCAAGGATTTTTGAAAATTTGTTCGTAATTTCGTTTAATTCAATTTCAATTGATTTTGTTAAAATTGTAGTTAATTATAGTCTATTATATTTCAATTGAATTATGATGTAATTACATATACATAGCTTATATTATTTAAATAATATACTAAATATTGACGAGATACGACGAAATTCATTAAATTTCAATTTCAATTTCAATTTAATTTAATATTCTAATACGTGTGAATATATAAAATGCATTTTCAAAGAAATTTTCATAAATACTGAAAATATTGAAAAGTAATAGTAATTATTGTATTATAAATAAATTACATTACTGCACTAAGTTTGAGTTTATATATGGCAACGTCCGAAGAACAATCTATTGTTATTTATAAAACAAAGAGAAAAAATGTAATATATATATATATATATATATATATATATATATATATGAAGAAATTACATATATAATATTTGCAAATTTTTAATTAACCATATGTAATATAAAAAAGTGCTATTATAATTATTATATATTGTGATAGCTCATATGATTACATAGCTGTATCTGTGAAACTGACACGACAATTTCATAAAAATACTAAAAGTTCCGATAGCACTCTTCAGTTTCTGATAAAAATTAAAAAGAGTTTCTTATATCAAAAAATCGAAATCGAAAAAAATTAACTTCGCGAATGTCTAATACGACATTCTTCCTTCTAAAGTATCAAAACGCGTTGAATATCATTATTTTTAGCAAATTCCTGGTTCTGTTCAACTTCAGCCTATATAATTTCAGATCGATATTCCAACAATTCATAATTTTCAATCAATTTTTAATGTCCTCGATTCGCACGACACTTATTAAAAATGTATCGTGTGAATGATTTTCCGCAGTTCTAACGATAATTCTCAACAGTTCTATTCTTTTTACACAAGGTTTCGACCGTTTACTATTTTTAAACACTTTTTCACAATTACTCAGCACGACATTCTCCTTCTAAAGTATTAAAACATGTTGAAAATTATTACCTTTGATAACAGTTTTCGATAGTTCTGTTCAAGTTCAGTGTATATATGCAATTTTAGATCGATATTTCAAAAATTAATAATTTTTAAACAATTTTTAAGCAATTACTCAGCACTCTCCTTCTAAAGTACTAAAACGTATTGAAAATTATTATTTTTGATAACAGTTTTCGATAGTTCTGTTCAAGTTCAGTGTATATATGCAATTTTAGATCGAAATTTAAAAAACATAATTTTTAAACAATTTTTGAAATATTGAAATACCTGAAAAATTGATTCAAAATTATTAATTTTTGGAATATCGATCTGAAATACTGCGCATTTTCATCATAATAATAAAAAATAAAAAAGAGTTAAACATTTTTTCTATAGAATTACAAAAGTATCTATTATTTAAAAAATTAATAATTTTAATATATAAAGAAAGAACTTGTTAAAAACCATTTGTTAAGAAATATACAGAAATTGACCGTCTATTTTAGAAAAGAGAAGCATTCTTTAGAAATTTAATTCAAGATCGCGAAACTTGAAGATACACAAACTGATATCAGAGATCGTAGAGCAGAAATATCTTCATTTATATCTTCATTTATATCAATCACGTATATAGCATAATGTATCAATGAGTTTGAATTGCTTATAATTGGACGATCGGATCAAAATTGTTGATTGAATTTAAATTTTACACTCGCATTTCGATATTAACTCTTTACATTCGACATTTATTTATTTGAATGTGAAATTTAATAATACATGATTTTATCATACATATATGTTACACGCAAATAACTTCATTCAAATATAACAAAAGTTTATATTTTATGTAATACAATAATTTCTGAATCATTTTGTAAGCTATCTCGCTTCTCGAAACGTTAAATTTTAGAAAAATAGTGCAAAGACCGGCGGAGACTTCGCTTACAGAACAGAATAAAACTTCACGCAAATTTATTTATAGCACTATAGTGTATATTTATAGTGCAATGTATCGTTGCGTCGTCATCTTGCCACAGATACTTCGCGAAACATTTCTCGACCAAAGCGATTCTCGCGCAATTTTATCCATGACCGCTGGGTTCCACGTGCGGAATCGCGCTTAAGTTCACGAGCGAATGTTTTTCGCATTTTAATAAATATCTGTTTTTAATATACATACATATTTATAAATATATCAGCATCATAGTTGAGCGTTGTATAAAGGAACGTATAAAGAGAAGCAGCAAAGAGAACTCATTTATATATGTCGCGGACCGCTGCGTTTAATTCTCTCGCGATGCTCTTTAATCCGACTATTTTCTCCTGCCTTTTTTTCCTTTTCCTTTTTTTTTTGTTAGCGAGCCGTCAAATTTTTTCACGAGAAACAAACGAAGTGAAAATGTAAACTCCACTATATAAAGTGCACTTGTATCTCTGATTGCAAATGCTTTATCAATGTTTCGCCCCAATGTTGTCTCGCGATATGCAAAATTCGGTACCGTATTATCTCTCCTTGTTCCTGCGTGTTTCATAATCACGTCACGGGGTTGTATCGTCTTCCAAGTTTCATAATAGCAATTCTCGAGGAAACAAGGCCGCTTAGCTCACATACTGCTCTAGCGAAGCGTATCTCTTAACATCGCTGTTAAACTGACATAAAAGGCATCTGTATCGGAAAAAGGATAACAAAGTTTTTTCATTTGTTAACTTTAATTACTCTTTGCTTTTTAATCGTGAAAAACACCTTATTATTTGTCCGAAGCTTAATTAGTAGAGAGCTCATCATGCTCCATGTTCTAAGAAGTTAAAAACGATTAAAGTATTGATTTATTTATTAATTAGCAGAAAGCACAGCATGCTCCATGCTCTGTAAAACTAAAAACGGTTAAAGTATTGATATATTTATTACGAGAAAAAATCGACTTTTTATTTGTGAAATATATATATCAAAGGAAACAGATACGATATATATTTGATATATTCAATATTTTATTAGCACGAAAAATTGTTTGTAATATAGCATATCCTTTTAAATATGATCGAATAATCGATATCTATTGAAAAGGCATTTTTTGCGTAGATATTTAAATATCTCTGTACATATATACTTACTTAAGATTGTATTTATATTCCGTACGCGAGAGAATAATTTATAAACTTTCGACGGAGACATATCATACACGTGTAACTTACTGCTAATTTCATTATCGCGCACAAGATCACGCGATGATAAATAAAATGATTCGGATTTAATTTCTTAATCTTTTAACTATGGATCTATCTACAATTATTTATTTTATTAACTACTTAATAAAATAAATAATTGTACAGATCCGAGATAATACAACGTAAACAAAACTAATGAAATTGTCAATAAGCGACCCCGACATCATAGCGTATCTTAAGATAGCTTATTGATGACAGTCATAAAATTTATATCTCATCGTCTATTGATGATAGCTAAAGGGTTAAGTTTACGAACGGTTCACAGTTTATTTCGATCCCTCGATAGTTAATTATTAATTACGACGTGTACATGGAAATAATAGTGGAAATCCGTGTGTGTTTAGCACAAACATTGGCGGTTATATGACATTAGCTAGTTATTGTGCATCATCGTACACACTCGCCGTGAAAATACGTTATCCCAGATACTGCCCGGTGAATCGAGGAATCGGGACTAGTAGAAGGTAGCTTTCGCTAAATGCAGCTTTACGGTCCAAGCCAAAAGCGAATGCTTTTGTCTGGATAAAGCGCTTTATACGCGGCTTAGTCCTTTCATTACTCGCCTCTATCATGCCTTCGCGCTCGTATAAGGCATTATGAACATTTAAAATAGTAATTACAACGATGATAATAATATTAGTAACAATGTCATTAATGCTCAGATTATGTCATTTCGAGTTTTATTTAGTAAAATCATTTGTTTCAATGTAGATAATATATCTATGATCTTCAAAAAAACGTATAAATAATGATAATAATTTTATTTATTATAATATTGCATTACTATCACATAATACAATATAGTATCAAGAATTTTATATTAAAAATGTAATATTGGACATAAACTCTAGATTATTTTTTTAAATAATAGTTAAATGTCAATAAGGACAGAACACCCACGTAAAATATAATAAAACTGTGTTATTAAACTGTGTTTACGAACCAATAAGTGAATGAAATTGAATGAGAAGATCATTGAAAAAACGATTGGTATAATTTAACGAGTTATGTTTTGATACTTTTGACATTTTAACAATTATATTTTGACAATTTTCCATCAGTATAATTTTAATGCAATACACACACACACACACACACACACACACATATACATATATATTGTATAACGTTACATCGCTGTAAATAACGCAAAGGAAAACATAGGTGGAATCCAAATATCGAAATAGTGATTATAAACGCGTTATATGCAACTTCATCGTTCCGAAAATATCATGTTGCAAATTACGACGACTCGTTCTCACTCGAACTTGCAACGAAATCAAAACTCTTAATAAATACTGATATTAAATACTGATTAATTATTGGAATATATGTCACGTTAATATGACCGCCTTTTAATTCCCTCGTGTATTATATATATTACACAAGATAGATATGTTATATGCACGTTTCATATTTTTCTTCATTTCGATAATATGATCAGAAGTTTCTATGACGTTTAAAAAATAAAGTAAAAGAATATAGTAATTTTTAATTTCAACGTTTTATAGAAAAT